CGGTCGGCCTCCGGTCTCAGCTCCAGAGGCGTCTGTCTGGGTGAAGATTTTTGGCGTCTAATGCCGTTTAGCTAGCTGTGGTTACACTAGAGTTTTTGGAGTAGTGCTCAAGCCGGAGTCCTATCCGAGTGGGCGATTGTCTCTAGGTGTCGGGTCGCGGTGTGTTGCGGATTGTCTCGCCTTTGGAGAGGAGGTTGTTACTCTACTTATTATTAATATGTGTTCTGTGTTGTTTTATTGGTGTTAGTTGTGTGTTGTGGTGTTGTGTTTTTTCTATTCTTTTGGTGTAGGAGTTGGATTATCCCTTGTGGGATTTGTTTAGTTTGTTTAGTTATTTGTCTTGTGGGTGAGTAAGAGTAGGCTCTAGACGGCCGTCGCATGGTTGTCTTCCTAGATTCAGTTAGATGGCTACTTGACTTATTCTAGTTGTTCTAGTTGTGTGTATATATATATATATATACACACTATATATGTGTTGTTTTATCTATAAAATCTATGGTTTCGGAAAAAAAAAAAACTAAAAATAATTAATAAACAAAATTACGTATAAAAAAGAGGTTCGTGTAATGTAAAGCAAAAAAAGTTTGAAATGAGTGGTGTTGAGTGTAATTATAAAGAGAAATTTTCATCTATCCTACAAGATTTTGAAAATATTGCAAAATTATAACCCATAAATAAATAATTACATCTCTACCTAATATGTAATAGATAACTACATTAATGTCTAAAGTAAGTTACCATATCCATTCAACCTACATCCCCCTTTTTGTGGGCTTGGTTAAGAGAGAGAAATGAAAAGTAATAACTAACTCATTTAATTCCTTAATTCACGCAGCTTGTACATTTTTTAATAGAGAGAACTGAAAACATTTATTGTAATTTACGCAGCCGTCACGTGGTATATTTTGCGTTTATGTTGGTATATATTCAGTATATGTTGCAATTAAAAACATGTCTTCCATCAAAAAATTAAGTCTTTTTTTTTTTTTTTTTTTTTTTTTTTTTACTTCTAACATAAAAGTATGTATAAACATATTATAACAGTTACTTATATTACCTGTACAAACAAATCTTCTAATATGTTGAACATATACTCCATATACACACAACATATACTGAATAGCTTA